GGGGGGGCAGGGGCCTCATGCTGCTTGCTCCCGTATAGGGCTGTAGGTACCCCCTGACCCTAGCCAAGAGGACTTGCATTTCTGTGCTCATCTTATTACTCTTATCTTCTTTTCTTAAACAGAGAGACAGACAGACAGACAGACAAGCGGAGCCGCAGTGCACACGGTGCGTGTGTCGGCGAGGCCGCCAGGAGACTCACCGCAGCAATGCTACGTGAATGCAGAGGGCTGGAGGTGGTGTGACTACTCACTTGCTCGGCTAACAGCTGCCGGTTTTGGATGGAATTATTCCGCAACAACAAGAAAGCGTCGGTTAAACGCCTGGTGGCCATGTCTCAACCTTTGTGACCCCCCTCTCGGGCCCCCCCGCCCACTTGCAGTCCTGATTTATTCACTTTCTTTCTCTTGGCCTGGCCTAGTCGGCCCACCCTTTCTTGACAAGGCCTCTCTTGACAAGGCCTCGGGCCTCCAGCCAAAAAGGCGCAGCTTTGCGCTTCACCAAAGCTTAAAGACCCCTCCCCAAATAGTCACCTAGGTTTTCCAGGGGTCTGACTCCCCCTACCCAAGCTCTGGCTTCGATCTCGATCTCTAAGCACTTGAATCCCCCCAATCCTTGCCTAGCGAGCCAATGTCCTAGAGACCCCACCCCAATCCAACCTTGGATCTACAAGCGTCTATCTCGCCAATCCGGCTCTGGACTGGGAGGCCCTGAAGCCCCCTAACCTCCTTAGTCCCTGAGACCCCTAAAGGGCTTCACCCGCTGCCCCTAACTTGGCTCTGAGGCGTCTAGGCCCTGCTCTGCGTTCCGGCCCTGACTCAGTTTCCCCACCAGAGGCCTGGTCTAGGCCCTCCTTGGTCAACCAGAGCCAGGCCTGGGTCCTGAACACAGGACGCCTGAGCTCCTTCCTGGGCCTTGTCTGCGCCTGTTACGGCCGGCCCGACCTCCTGACCCCTTCCTTCCCTGGGCGGCCCGGTCCTCCACTGCCAGCAGGCTGCCGGCCTCCAGGAGGACGCGGGGCCTCCCAACCCGGGATCCTCAGTCCTCTTCTGCGTCTCCCTCCATCCCCGGATCTGAATGCAGCTCAGCCCCGGGCCGTTTCCGTGCTGTGGTCCCGGGTTCTGGCGTCCCCCCGGCCCTCTTCCTGTCCGTCCCTCGCGAGTGCCCCCCTGCGTCGCTCGCGAGCCTCGCGTGCAACGTTCCGGGCGCGGGAGCTCCCTGCCGCGGGCCCGGGCGCGGGAGCGCTCCGCCCTCTCGGGCTGCTTGGGGCGAGCTGCTCCCGCTTCCCCAGCAGGGCCGGGCAGGCAGGGGGCAGGCCCGCGGCTCGGCAG